AAAACACTGATGCTATTAAATGTTATAGAATGCTTTTGCTTCACTTCCCAACATTTTAAATGCTAATTTCTTTCAGCAGTTGCACATTTTAGTCCTGTGGGTTAAAGATTTATGTATGAAACTTTCCCATGGGGTGCCCCTGATTTTTATTACTGCTTTAAAGATGAAGTCTTTGAACAAAAGGCCTGTTTTTTTGTTTTTTTTTTAATATCTAAATCTTATTTTACTGTGCAGACTTTTTTCTGTTCTACCACGAAGCTCAAGCTGAAAACTTAATGTGCAATTCTAACAGATGATGTGATTTGCTGTAATGTTTAGTAGGACCAGTTTAGCAGCTCTCTATCTGAGACATTTTGAGTACTTCGTATTTTCTGACTACTGGCATAATTTCTATGAATTTTAGGATCTGGAGAGAGGATAGAGAGCACCATGGAGGCATTCACACAGTAAGTACCACACTGCCCTCTTTGAAGTGCTGTGAAAAAAGAATGCATAAATTTTTGCATGATGGCAGACTTTTTAGACACCACCCCCCGACCCTCCCCATTCCCAAAAAAGGTGTATTGCTAAAAATGTGAAAGTGACGCACACACCCCTGACAAACGGTGGAGTCATCATTTTACTTATTCGTATCTTTTCTCTGTTGTCAGTGCGGTGGAGCAGGGCACTGAGATGCTGGAGATGGACTGTCATTTGACACATGATGGCTTTGTGGTGGTATCACATGATGAGAATTTACTGAGGCAGGCTGGCCATGATGTCACAATCTCCTCGCTCAATCTGCAGGTAAGAAGCCGGAACCTGCTGGACTGGGGCAAAGGTCACAAGGCCGTACAGAGACAAGAAGTGGTCATCTTTCAGAGACACCTGCTCTGTTTCTGTTTCATAGATGAGCTTTGTTACATTTATTGTTACACATGAGACCATGTGAGTTTTATCTTGAGCACTACGTCTCAAATATACATATTTTTGTGGCACAGATTCAACAAGGTGCTGGATACAGTACTCAGGGATTTTAGTTCATGTTGACATGATGACATGAGACAGTTACTGCAGATTTGTTGCCTGTATATAAATGAATCTCCTGTTCCACCACATCCCAAATGTGCTCGATTGGATTGGGATCTAGTGAGGCCATTTGAGTACAGGGAACTCAATTTTTGTTTTCTAGATGTTTGAGCTTTGTGACATGGGGTGCTATCCTGCTGGAATCAGTTATGAAAAGATAGGTACACAGTTCATAAAGGGATGGACATGTCAGCAACAATACACGGGTAAGATATTTTCTTGGCCCCGAAGTGTGCTAAGAAAATATCTGACACTTGTACAAGACGGGATCATGTTATTTACACCATAATTCTGATCCTAACATTCAAATGGCACAGAAAAACATCAAGATTCACACCAGACAACATTTTTTTCAGTCTTCTATTGTCCAATTTTATTGAACTTGTGCAATATTAGTCTCAGTTTCCTTTTCTTAGCTAACGAAAGTGGTACTTGATGTGGTCTTCTACTGCTAAAGACCACCTGCTTCAAGTTTTGACATGTTTAGAAATGCTGTTCTTCATAATTTGGTTGTTACACGGGGATATTTCACTTATTGTTGCCTCATCTTGAAGCAGCTATGCTTTTCTCCTCTGATTTCTGACATTAACAAGGTACTTTTACCTACTTAAATCCCCCCACCCTGATGCTCAGTTTGAACTTCAACAGGACGTCTTGGCCATGTCTGCATACCTAAATGTAATTGCTGCCATGTGATTGGCCGATTAGATATTTGCATTTATGAGAAGCTGAACAAGTGTGAGTGTATAATACTCTAGAGATAACTGCAGAATAACTGCTTAAAAGTCAGTTTTCACTTCCAAACAATCTGGTAGTTCCTTAAGCTCACATGAGACTACCAGATTTGGTTGTAATGCTACTGTGAGCTACGGGGCTTTACGTGGCAGTTTACATGTTATTACATGTTTTTCCATCCAGATTTAACAGCACGCATATTTACCGTAGCAACATTACATACAGAGCTGCATGGAGGCATCTTTTAATTCTTTTAAATTCACCATAATCTTCAAAAAGGGCATGCTGCTTGCATTGCTCTTGAGGTTTCCTCGGAAACAAAGCTGTAATTTCTCAGTAAGAGTTTGTTCAAGCATCAGATTACCATCAAGCGAATGTTTGCATCCGGCTTTATTGCACGTACCAACTCAGCTGGGACAACAATACTAAGAATATCCGATGGCGTACACAAATTCTTTTCACCTTAATCACATCATAGTAAATTCGCCTTATATCTCTCTGTTCAACTCTGTTTTTAAACTTTTAGGATTTGCCTTTGTATAAGGAGAGACTGGAGGTAACATTTTATGAAGGTGAGTTCCTCCTGTTATATCTAATTGTTCATTTTTAATAAAAAGACATTTGAAGAAGATGCATCTATAACAATAATCATCATCATAATCATAAATCAAACACTGTATGTTGAAAAATGTATAGACAAAACAATCAAACAACTACTGTTTAAAAGTGACTGAATAAAAAAAAATGAGCTTCCCCAATTTCCTCCAGCAGGACATCAGTATTAATCGTCTTATCGAAGATATTTCTAATGTTTCTGAAAGAGTTGGGTAGTGATACTGAATTCATATCCAAGAGAGGGGAGCAAAATTAGAGGAAATTGATGTCTGGGACTCTGAGGAGCGACCTTAAAGCCTGAATCATTAAATAATTGCCAGACTATGAAACTTCTAATTAAAAATAAAATTAATAAATATTACTTTGTATCATATGTGCTACATCCAGCAATTTTCTTGCAATTTATTGCTTAATTCACTGTAAAAGTTATTGCCATAAGGAGAAATACAATTGTGTATATCTGCAAAGAAATCATAGCACACTGTATTTGTTAATTACATAGCCACATCATAAGCTATCAGTTAGAAACAGCAGGAGGCCAACAATGAAACCCTGTGGAACACCATTTCTTAGCATTAATATAACTGACTGCACAGATTATCAAAACACGTGTAGACACAGATGAAACTAATATAAAAGCAAACCTGAAACGCAGGCACTATATTAAAACAGTGATAAAAGCAGCAGATCCCAGATGAGTAAAGCAGTGTGGTGCACCACAGTCAACTGCCATAACAAGTTAATTTCTTTCTGACATGCTCATGCATCTAATGTGACTTTACTTTTCACCCCTCCTTTTCTTTAGGCCGTTACAGCACTGGCAAGGACAGGAAGTTTGCTCTGCTGGAGGATGTGTTCAAGAAGTTCCCTGAGATGCCGATCAGCATTGAGATCAAAGAGAACAACCACGAGCTCATTAAAAGGGTACACGTTAATCGCCCCAAAAAACCAACACCAAACTTCTACCACAATTTCCTGATATATGAAAAAGCTTCAGCTTTTCAGGATTGAATCAGGCCTCTTTTGAGGTGGATACATTATCTAAATTCCAGTCAAGGTGGACAAATTATGAGTGATTTTTCCTGTGCAATCCTAAATATGTTATCCACCTTATAAACAGTGTCCACAGTTTACTACCCAAGTCTAGCACAGCAGCCTCTGTGATATCTGTGTCTGCAGCACCACTTACACTCTCACACCTTCATGTCATCATGTCCTGAATGCTAATATTTGTTTCCCACTTGATTTTATGTTTTTAGGTGTCTGATCTGGTTAAAAGCTACAACAGGGAGGGGATCACTGTGTGGGCTTCCGCAGACTCCACGATCATGAAGCAATGCTGGAAAATGGTACATTAACCAGCTGGAGGAGATGAGTTACCTGTATAGCATTAACACACTTTACTCATTATAACATTTTAATTGCATGCAGGAAATGCATGAAATGAAGTTATATGATGGCGTTACAGGGCTTCCTTAGCTTTTCAGTATGGTTTTCAGCATGATTCATAAACACCGCCTCTGTACCAGTGTTGTCACCCAGCATGTCTGCGTCTCTCTGTTCTCTCCTTCCACGTAGAACGGCTCCATGCCGTACAGTTTCAGTATGAGCCGAGGCCTGCTGCTTCTGCTTCTCTTCTACACGGGGCTGCTGCCCTTTGTGCCAATAGGAGAGAGTTTGCTACAGTTCTACCTAATGCGCATCTTCAACAGGTGTGACTGCAGGAGTGTGTTCAGTGCATGCTGAGTAAACTGTGTCCATTTATGTGCATGCATGTCATTTCACATGACGGGTCCTTTTCCTGTTAAGACAGTGACGCTTCATGTTCTCGCTATCTATGCTCACTGTGTCTGGACTGCCTAACTGAGCCCATTAACATTTTTCCTGGTTCAAAATGAGAATTTGAATGATGATGGTGAATAACAGCTAAGCATGACTGGTTTAAATATGGTACAGGCTCTGGGTCTGTGTTGCCTTATTTGGGGAAAAAACCCAGCAATTTTCCTTTTTGTTTTAAATTCTGACCATTTACTGGGGGGGGGTTGTAGTTGTAGTTGTGAATGTTTATGTTCCGCTTGTTCAGCTGTGGTTCATACATTTCTGTTAAACACATTCAGATTTATGTTTTACTTTTATTTTTAAAACTCTGGGAGCACTGAAAGTTTCTCTGTGCAATGACAATTTAATCATGTGGTTGTAAGCCTTCTTCTGCGGCCTCTTGGTTTTTATTCTCTCAGATACTTTTATTTCATAAAAGTGTAACTGTGTCTTTCTCTGTCTCTGTGTGCGCTGAAGGACATTCATTCCCGATGAAGCTCTCCTGAGGAACAAGCTCGTTGTGTGTTTGATAGAAAAGTAAGCGAAGTATTAAAAAGGACTATGGTAGTTGTTCCTACATCTCACTTATTTATTGGTCTTGAAATCTAAATTATAAATGCCAAAAATCAACAAAACATTCAGTCCTCACTAAACTGAAAGATTGTTTACACTGCTAGCTTAAATCTAGCATTTTAAGCACAGTGTGCAGTTTGTGTTTTATTTTAAATTTGCTTCTTTCATGCTGTCATTGCAGAATAACTATGAGGAAGAGTCTTTTTAGGCACCTCGCTGCCCGTGGAATTCAGGTATGAAACCACATTTCTAAGTGTTTACAGCGCTGTGCTTGAAAGAAGAGTTAAAGAAATGCAAAGAAAGCCAGAACTGTGGGATATAAACATATCAGAGTAAAAGAAAACACTAAATACTGAGAGGCAAATATGAAATCTATCACAAATGTTTGTTTACCTTATCAAAGGCTCTTTCTCTTATCAGAGTTTTGTTTGCTCATTCTCATTTAGATAGAAACAGTGCAGGGACCACAAGTGTGCTCAGAAACTTTCCTGGAACATTTTTGCTTCACTTTTACTTTGCTCTTGTATCTTCCATGAAAAGAGGCACAGGGAATCCCCAAAATAGAATTCCTGTTAAAGTCAATGGATTTGATTTTTCTCCTACTAGTCACTGCATGGTCAGCTGCAGGATGCTATTCAAACTCAACAGGTTATGATCTAACACAGAAAGCACTTCAGCATGACAAATAGTTGACCTCACACAACCACTATGAGTGTCCTGAATGCATCATCTCTATCCTGATGTGATGAGATCAACTCTGTTGTCAGGACATGACTCCACTCAATAGCTGGAGAAAGTAACACTCTTTAAGCTATGTGATATTTATATTTTGTCCTTGTTGTATTTCAACACTTTTAAATAATGCCAAAGTAGCAACCAGGAAATGTTCCTTTCTATATCATCTACATGTTGTTTTTTAGTGTTTTGGGGAGAATTTGTGGGCATGTTAAAATCCAAGTATTTTAATCAGTGATTCAGTAACATGTCCACACGATTTACAGGTTATCAGTCCACTGAATGTCCTAATCAGTCCTACTGATATTCCCACACTAGACTCTTTAGTAGGTAATTGGTGCCAACTACCAGGTTTGTGTCCTTTTGCCTTCAAAACTGCCTTAATTCTTCATGGCACAGATTCAAAAAGGTGCTGAAAACATTCTCCAGATGTTTTGGTCCATATTGACATGATGGTATCACACAGTTGCCGCAGATTTGTCAGCTGCACATCAGTAATGTGAATCTCCTGTTCCACCACATCCCAAAGGTGCTCTGTTGGATTGAGATCTGGTAACCTTGGAGTCTATTTAAGTACAATGAACTCATTGTCGTGTTAAAGAAACCAGTTTAAGATGAGTTGAGCTTTGTGACTTGGTGTATTATCCTGCTGAAAAGAACTAGTGAACCAAAGGATGGGTACGCTGGTCATAAAGGGATGGACATGGTCAGCAACAATACTTGGGTAGACTGTGGTGTTTATCTGGTGGTCAGTTGGTACTAAAATGCCTGAAGTGTGCCAAGAAAATATCCCCCTCACCATTACCGAACCGTTGATACAAGGCGGGCTCAATCCATGTTTTCATGATGTTTATACCAAATTCATCATTTAAATCTTGCAAATCTTGCAGAATTCAATATTCATAAGACCAGGCAACGTTTTTCAGTCTTCTGTTGTCAAATTTTGGTGAGTCTGTGGGAACTGTAGCTTCAGTTTCCTGGTTGTAGCTGACATGAATGGCACCCAGTGTGGTCCTCTGCTTCTGTAACCCATCTGCTTCAAGGTTCAACATTTTTTTTTGTATTCACAAATGCTCCTCTGCATACCTTGGTTGTAAGGAATGGTTGAGTTACAGTTACCTTCCTGTCAGCAAAGCAGCCTGGCCACTCTCCTCTGACCAGAGAACTACAGCTCACTGGGTATTTTCTTCCTTGGACCATCTTTTGTAAAGCCTGGAGATGGTTCTGTGGGAAAATCCCAGTAGATCAGAAGTTTATTCTTTTTTTTTTTCCTTTTTTTTTTTTTAAAGACTCATACCAGCCGTTTGGCACCAACAGCCACTTTCAAAGTCATTTCAATCACATTTCTTCCCCACTCTGAAGCTCGGTTTGAACTTCTGCAGGTCATCTTGACCACGTCTACAGGCAGCCATTCGACTGGCTGATTAGATATTTGTGTCCACGAGCAACTGAACAGGTGTCCCCAACAAAATAGACAGTGAGTCTAGGTGCTCACCTGTTAACCGGCTCGTTCGGCTAATAAGATTAGCTTTGCAACATGCTCCATGAAAATCTTTTTCCCTTGTTTTCTCTGTTTCCTAGTATACATATTATTCTAATCAAGATGAATGTGACACTTTTGTTGCCATTGCATTGATTATCAATATCATTTTGTAATAGTTATTTATCTACACTGTAGCCTAAACAACTGGCCCATGGTGCTTCAGATTTTCTGCTGCCATAAAAGGAAAAACAAAACAGTGAAATGTCAGTTTTTAACTGAAGATAACTGTTGCAATTACAGGTGCATTTATTTGTTTGCAACACAGAAGAAGACATAGAGGCAGCATTAGAAGTAGGAGCCACTGGAGTGATGAGTGACTATCCAACTCTTCTGTCCGGCTACTTCTGCAAAAACAGAAGTCAGGACTGAATCCAAGCACACCATCACATGATGGCAACAATGACACTGATGAAAACGGCTAATGCAACATTTGTTGAAGAATCTTTGGTCTGCATAATAATCGCCATGCAGTGGGAACACAACTATCATTAATCTCTTTGGTGCTGACCTTTAATCGCTGTTGACAGAATGACTTGTTTGTCGTGGGATCGTCTCTACAGCCTCCACCCACAAACAAACCACGGCATTGATCTGCAGCACATCTAACGAGTGAATCTTTAACTAGCTGGACTGTATATTTGATTAAATGTGACTTTATTTTGAATGTCTCTAATGTTACTTTCTGCCACTTTTAAGATAGGGCTTGAGAAATAAATGATTATGAATAAATCACTTGCATTTTGGCTTTTATATTCTTTTGGGCCATTAGAAGATTACAAGGTAATTACTGGCAGTACAAACATGAATACAGTACAGTGTGTTACGGAGCAATCTAGGCAGCATAGTGCGAATCTCTTTGACCGATTTTCTTGACCTAAAAGAGACTGTAGAGAGTGTACACGTGCTGTAAACCTCACCTGTGTCCTTGTTTTCCCAAGCAACTATGGTCAAAGTCCAGCCACCCGGCCGTGATAATAATCAACCAGTTTGTTGGTGAAACAAAGAGGGTATTTTTCTGTGTAGCAAAGTAGCAATAAAGTAAGATGTCTTAGTAATATTGAGACACTTGAGACAATTTCCCATATTTTGACTGGTTTGGGAGGACATGCAATTCAACTCAGTTTTATTTATATAGCATCAAATCACAACGAATGTTGCTTCAAGGAACTTTACATGTAAGGTAGAGACCCTACAACAATACAGAGAAAGCCACAACAATCAAGCAACCCAGTATGAGCAAGCACTTGGTGAGAGTGGGAAGGAAAAACTCCCCTTTAACAGGAAAAAACCTCAAAACAGAACCAGACTCAAGGAGGGGCAGTCATCCACCATGGCTGGTTAGAAGTGATTGTAGGGAGACGGGACTAAAACACTGTGCACTTTGCACTTTTCTAAACTCTGGTTTTAACCCAGTGCGAAGGGTAGGCCTTTTATTATAGTGAGAAGAAGCTTAGCCAGTTTAACGCCATAATCATCAGGGAAAGCTACAAGTCAACAAGTTGCACACTTTGCAGATTTTGTAAACTGTGAGAAAGAAAAAGAAGTACCAGTATATTCTGAATAATATGGTGTGAAGTGACACAATATATGTGTTATAATTAAATAAAATTGTTGAACTTTTCAGATGTGGCAAAAGAAAGCTATGCAAATCTATGGATAGATTCAAACTGAAGGCCCCAAAATGCAGAAATCACAGTGAAAGTACATAAAGACTTTTCATATGCATGACTATAAGAACAAACTTCAGTTTCCTTTTATCTTTACTGTATTTGCTTAGCAAGACAGTTTGAAATATTGTTTAATTAGCCTGTATGTGCCTAGTTTATTGTTTGTTTGTTTTTATTTTTAAGTCATCATTGCTGACATGTCCCACTTTCTCCCACACAAATACCACATATGCCCTACATTTAGTTTGTTGGGATCTGCTCACCCTAGGCCTAGGTCATTGATCAACATTTAATGGTACATGTTGCTGTACCACAAAGCAAGGAAACTGCAGGAATTATAACCAAAGAATTATAACCAAACTTTTCAAAACTAAACCAGAGATCAGTGTAATGGACCGCCTGCCTGTGTGTCATAAAAAATACACACACACACAAGAAAGGCAAAGGACATGCAAAGGAGCAGTCAAGAAACCACAACAAATAAAACCCTTCCCTCGGGCTCATATTCCAAGAATTCCTGGAAGCTGTCACAGTAGCAGGTTAGCATGTTGTTCTTTCTCTTATTGGTCTGATCTCTACAGAAGCACTATGCTTGTTTTTGAAATTATTTTTAATCCCAGTCCGACAGGCCGGAGATGATAACACACTTTCAGCATTTATGAAACGCTACCAAACAGCAATCAAACCGATAGCCATAAAAGGCCCCGGTAAGATGGAATCTGATTGGTTGACCCACATTCTAACGTCACTCGGAGGCTCTGATTGGTCAGCTGGGATTTGTTTTGCACTACCCAGACTTCCTCCTATGCGTGTTTTCATAAACAAATCGCATTTTTCCTCCCGCCGAGGTCGCTGCTTTCGCTCCTTGTCAGCCTGCCAGCTTTGTCGGCGTCCAGCTCCACTTTTAAAGAAGGTCGTTTCGGAACTTTGAGCGCTGGTTCTGGTTCAAAAAAACAAAAGAGAGACGCGGGTAAACGGGCTCCGCTTCAACAGCCAGAGCTGTCTGTCCTTTTTTGTGTGTCCGAACCGCCAACGCGTGGTCGATCGTTTCTCACCAAACTGACCGTTTTTCTGCCTTTTACCTGAAGTTTTTCAGCTGCCGGCCACACCAGTCCGCTGTCTAGACTGTGAGGAGCTTCGGTGTTTTTAGGTAAGTGGACGGACGCCGAGAAATGTCCTGCAATGCGCATCTGCGCTGCTGCAGCTGCTGTTGTGTGTTGACAGTGCGGAGCTAGCGGGCTAGCTAACACACTAAGCTAGGTCAAAGCAGAGCTAGTGGCCCGGTTTACTCCTGCAGCTGGCAGATGCACCATCAGTCAGTTTACGTTGACTGGTAGACGGACAGTGCCTGTACAGTCCTTGAATTTGGGTTAACTGCTGCATTTATCTAAGCAAGGGTTATTTGTGCCAACTATTAGAAACCAGGAAGCAAGCTGCCTGGTTAACTAACCTGTTTGACTAGTCTCAGCTAATAATGCATCCATACCTTGTAAAGTCACCCTCTGCCATCATACATTTAATCATTGAAAAGAAGATGCATGATTGAAGCTGACAAAGAGTCCAACCCAGATAGCTTTCATTCATTAAGGATGAATGACCTTAAAACCTTGATGTTAGATAGCTCAAACTGTTAGTTACAAACTCCAAATTGTTAAATACTAATGCAAAGGCTTGAGGGAGTAAGTCACATCTTTATAGTGCTGACTTTCAATTTTCCCTTGGTGTGTCAGTATAATAGTAGGACTTTGGTCATAGATTTTTCTGGACCACATCTGATCAGGTGATTAACAGATTTTCTCTGGGTCCAGCCTCATTGCAGTTTGACAGTGTTCAATTTTAGTTTAGTTTTCTTTGTAGTTATTATAATACTGGGGCTACTTATCAGGGGCCTGGTTGAAGAGATTACAGTAGTAGCACTTTGTGAAGGCAGTTGAAAGTCATGTAGGCATCCTAAGTCTTAATACGAAAAACCTCATCAGGCTGGTTGTGTTGACAATTGGCTTTTTATAAGATAGACTTTTACCCCCAAGTGAAAAATTCACATTATTACATTATTATAGCAGCAAAATGAATAGAACAGGAACAAAATAAGTAGATTCATAACATAACATTCATAACATAACCTTTATTAATAATACTCTACAACAATAGAGAAAAATGTGCACTGTACATATGGGAATATTAATGGCATGGGATATTGCATAGAGCAGTGGTTAACAGCAAGATGGAATATAGACTATTGCACACAGTCTGACAGAAGATGGAAGGAACGTCCTGCTTTTGGTTTTTAGTTTGGCTTAACTTTAATAACCTTTGTGTCACATTGCGTTAGGGTGAAGCTTTATAGTCTTGTGATGGGGCTAAGGTTAATTCAAATGAGGAAGAAATCATCCTGTTTATGGTTAGTCAGATGGAAGAACTGTGTGCCAAGATCGTTAACCCATCATACAAACAATAATAAAACAAACTCGTCTCTCTCTGTGTTTTTGGTCCTGCTCAGACATGGTGAAGCTGACAAAAGCCAAGACGTTCCAGGCGTATCTGGACTCCTGCCACCGCCGTTACAGCTGTGTGCACTGTCGCGCCCATCTGGCCAATCATGACGATCTTATCTCCAAGGTCTGTATGCCGCTTGTCTTTTTTGTTCATAATCATGTCAGATGGCATGCACATTTGCTCCATGGCTATTTCAGAAAGTTGCATCTGAGACATATCAGAGTTGGGTTTGCAGTCTGTCTCTAATTTATATTTTTCCTCCCTGTCTCCTAGTCTTTCCAAGGCAGCCAGGGCCGAGCCTACCTCTTCAACTCTGTGTAAGTATCAACTATTAAAAAGCAGGTTTTTCCTGTTTTAGGTTTCCAGTCTCACTTCTCCTGTAGACAGGAGAAGAGGGAACTGTTGTTGTTTTTCACATCTCATTTGTATTCACAATAACTTTAATGCTACTTTGTGCAAAAATGTTATTTTTTCACGCAAATCATTTTATAAAAAGTCTATTTCTCTGTGAAAACACATTCCTAGTATCGCGCTTGTTTGATCAAACCACACTGAACAGACAACTTGATTTGCTCTAGTTTGGATTTTGAAGGTTTGTGAGCTCACGTTCTTCCGGGGTTAGTGGGTCAGGAGTACACACTGTTTGCGTCTTAAATATTAACCTACCAGCTCCACTCAGTTTAAATCTTAATTTGTTCAGGTGCAGCCCTTTTTGAATAGTAGGGTTTCATTAACATTTTCTCCTAAAGGAGGTTGTAGCTGTGCAGGAGAGGCTGTCCTTGAGTGATTACTGAAGAGAACAGTTTAATCACAGTGTGTCCATGCTTTTGTCTTCAGGGTCAATGTCGGCTGCGGCCCTGCTGAGGAGAGACTGCTGCTCACGGGACTTCATGCTGTGGCCGACATCTACTGCGAAAACTGTCACACCACATTGGGCTGGAAATATGTACGTATATGTCCTCCAGCAAATACAGTGCAGGATTATTCATCTTTAAATCACTTAAAGGCTTTTTGGTTTTTAATTCACTGAAACGTCCACACACACTTTTCTGTTGCCATGAGGAATTTTATACATATCGCACTAATCAATTGGGACATTTTTGTAAGACGCAGAAACAACAAAGCAATGATGTAATCAAGAACAACTGGACTTTCCAGTGATTGTTATGTGAATGTCACTGTCTGCATTAATGCATGAACTGCAAAAATTGTAAAGAAATACATGAGAAAATGACCCGGTTTCTCTCTTGATTTATTACTTCTGTAAACTTTATGGTCTCTGTCGCTGTTTTAAAGCCTTCATTAAGACAACATGCTGTTCATTTAGTGAATTGTTATCTCCATTAGGAGTAAATGGCAAAGTGGGGTATGTTTCGGGGTGTGGCTGCCCTCTGATTGACAAACTCTTACTGTTTGTTTGTGTAGTGTTTTCACTTGGGGTTGGGCTTTGCTATAAAAGTCACTCTAAGAAGTAGCAAGATGTCAGATTAGTTGTCCACTAACCAGACATCATGGCAGCTACAGCTTTCTTTCATCTGTCATCTAACTTTTTCTCTCTTTCTAACAACTCCCTTTCACCTTCCTCCTGCAGGAACAGGCCTTTGAACTGAGTCAGAAGTACAAGGAGGGGAAGTACATCATCGAGCTGTCCCACATGATAAAGGACAACGGTTGGGACTGAGAGGGAAATCTTCGTCTTTCGTCATGACTTTTTCACAAGTTGCGGAAACGGTTCCAGTGTAGCTTCTTCATCCCACGTTCGAGCCATCGCTGTGCCACACTTTCACTTCATACAGCTTTGCCAAGAATAGCATGTGATGCCTTATCTTTATCTGTTCTTCGTGTTTTGTTTCCTTTTTTTCCAGCAAGCACGACAACACGTTTGCTGATAATGCTGTCCTAAGTGCTAGTTGTGCAGGAGGACATGGACTGAATGAGTGCGGGGTTTGCGCGTGAAAACTTGGAGATGTAGTCACACGGGGCACCAGCTGGTGTTACATTTTGAGCACGCCTATTAGTGATTAAACCACTGAAAGGCCTCGCCCTGTGGTGGGCAGGCCGGTGGAAGTCAAATTATCTGATCTTAAACACTGGATGCAGGTATTTGGGTTTTCCTTTTGACTTTAAGGTGCATATTTAGATGTAAATGACCCAAACTGAGTGAATTATTTAGGCTTGTTTAATCCAGAGATCCCTTCTTTTTTGATGTGAGGGTATGGGAACGCTTAGAGAAGCGGGATGGGCTTTTTTTTTTTATGAGTTAATGTTTTTAAGATTAGTAAAACTTGTTCATATTTTGCCTAAAAAGCCCACAAACATCCTGTAATTCATAATCTGGGGTAAGTCTTCCGCTTGAAGGTCTACCTTTTAGTGTGTGTTTGGGTGGGAATGTGTATGAGTGCAGTGTTTGCTCATAAGTCTTAAGCTGGTTAGTGTTGAGAAGCATTGATCTGGAGTTGATTCACATTTAGATTTTCCACTGCACATTCGGGATATCTTCACTCTTAATGCGGATCCTTCATATGTTTGTGACCTAACACTAAAGCAGCCCTTAGATTTCCTAGATTGTGCTAGAGCAGAGTGTGATTTGGGTAATGTAGCATATTTATGGTGATTTTTTTTTTTTTAATGTCTGCTTCTTTCATTAAAGTGTTTTTTATTTTAACCTGATATTTCATTAAAATACAGTATGCCAGTAAGACTTTTGTTTGTGCTGTGGTGTTTCATCTTATCTCGCTTCTGATTTTCTCATCAAGCTTATTTCTTCTTTGTGGTCAAATCCAGACAAAACACAGCCTGAGAAAGTTTCTGTTCAAAGTGCTGAGACAACACAAAAGTGTGAGGGCCAAATTCATAAAACAGCCAAAGGTAAAAGTAGCTTTTGATTGTCTGTTTTGGGGGGAAACTAATAAAAAGGAAAAAATTAAAGTACTCACTTTGGCATATTCTGTAGGTCACACATCTTGTATCGGTGTCATTTTATATTATGGATGGTAGCAAGAATCGGATCAGTCCTTTTTTTTAATCACCGGGGATTAGTTTACACTGAGTAGCTCGTGACTCTTTAATCCATCTCTAGTGTCTCCCTGTGGCTTTAAGAACAAACCTGATTTATTTATCATCTCCATAAGTGGTTCTTTACAAACTTTGGCATAAAAAGTAAGTAAATTTGTGTTTGCTCCATTATTTCTTTGTTGTAACAATGCTCTGCAATAAATCTTATATTGTTTGCAAGTTTATTGCCCCTTAAATGGTGCCACATTTGTGATTTGTTCCCATTATAAAATAGTCAAATCTTCTCGTCAAAGCCAAACAGCTTTTTCTGCTATTGAGCTTCTGGTACTGCAGGTGCCTCATTGCTGTTTGATTAGGTGCAACTGTGAGCAGGGACCCTGCTACAGCAGTCAGTTGGTGTCTGCGCCAACCGTGGCATGTTTGACTGATCTGGATAGGGCTATGCTATAGGACAACTTCAAGCGGGTGTTTTTTCAAAACCAAGTAGCAGCATTACTTGGACTGATCCCTGGTATCATCTCCAAATTGAAAGCCAAGGTCCATAAATGTCAGAGAAGGGCTGCAAACTAGGCATCCCAAGAAAACCTCAAACTGTCAGCAAGCACAGAAACGGTAAGCATTTATATATCCAATCAAGGTTTGCAGAATGATCTGGCCGATGGCTGTTTACCCAGACAACCTGGAACAGACTGCACACAGCCAATCTAAGGTCTGGTCTGGCACAACCACCCTGGCTGACTTCTGACGAATGCTGGTTGAAGAATGGGATGCCATCCCACAGCAGTTTGTGACCAGCATGAGGAGGAGGTGCCAGACTCTTCTGGCAATTAATACTTCTTCCCCCATTTGTTAAATGAATAAATTGCTAACATGTTTTGTTCCTTCAGACTTCAATCATCCAATCCAATAAATAACACCAAACCAGAGTCAGTAGCAGAATGAGCTGTTTGGCATTGGCAGAGAAGATTTAGCAGGATTTTTATTTATCAGATTTATCACATACTCATCTCTGCTGCTTAACCCACAAACAAATGTTGCACCATTTATGGACAAGAAAATAGGTTTTCCAGCAGGCTTATTATCAAAGCAGATCACTTTAAATCTGATTTATCTGCATAAAAACAGGTAGGACTCAGATTGGCCTGCATAGCTTTAAAACTACATTTTTGTAAATAATAAGTGAACAGTTTTCATTACTTTGACTCTAATTTCATAAATAGTGATATTAAAATGAAAATGCAAATTTAAAAGACTAAATATTTGCACCTATTAGTGATACTGATAATAGTTGTGTTGCCTTTATTTACGGCTCAAATTCCTTTGTGTTCAGAAACCGTTCAGGTGTGGCTGTATTGTTATGACATAACAGCAGCTTTTTAAGAAAATGTCTTTTTACGCATGTCAGCGGAGCTCTTGCCGTCTGTGGAACAAATCCGATTCTGTGCCAACAGATGGTGCTGGAAGTCAGCCAGCAGGTGGTGCTGTAGTGTAGTTGTGTTTAGACACCAGTGCTGTGCAGAGATTTTATCACCTTTAATTCTTACCGCTCTCATTTCAGTGCCATCCGATCAGACCCAGATTTATTTTACAGCATGAGAGCGAGTCTAAAAATACAGCCAGAGGCATAAAGCACTGTGTTCAGCTGTGAGGAGGAACAAGTAGCTTCATCCTGCAACAGATGGCTTGGCCTCCACGGAGCCCTGATCTCTGGGATTACATGAAGACACAGAAGACGCTGAGACGGTAAATCCACAGCAGAACTGTGGCGAGCTCACAGAGGTGTTTGGAACAACCTGCGCCTGTCTCAAAAAACCAAAAAATATACCTCTATGAGAGCTGGTGACATAAAATATCAGCTGGATTTATTCACTAACCTTTGTGCAAGGGGGATTCATAAAGAAACACAATGATAAGAAGTATTTCTAAGAGCATTATCACTGTATTTATGTGCCTTTAACTTCTAACCTTTAAGGCATGTTATAACTCTGCAATAAATCAATTTGTGGACACAACGGGTTTTGTAGTTTAAAATGTTAAATTTGAACTGTTTTGCTGCAGAATTCAGACATCTATTCCATAAAGGATTTAGAATATCTAAAAATATTTGCAGACATTTACACATTTCTGTGGGATAATTAAGTGGAGTAATTGCTGCGGTAACACACTGTTTACCTGCAAATCTCAAAATAGAATACAAATGAGCAGATGAACTCAAATTAAGACACAAACTGCGATTAATGATTGTGTACAAAAGACCTGATGGACTACACAAATAAGCATTAAAATGAAATCTACTCTATCAGCGAGCTAGCATTGGACCTGCCAGGGAGATCACATAAACTCAGCTTCAAATATGTGAACATTTACTAGTGATCGACACAGATTCATCTCTGACCCTTCAGTGGAATACAGCAGTAAAATCAGTAAAACAAGCTACTGTGATTAAGCTAATTTGATTTGGCTCAAACTTTATTATTCATCATGGCAAAGTAACAAAATATTTTGCAGAACAATCTCTCTTTAATCACAGCAAACGTGCATTTAATCAGGATCTGATCAAATTTAAAGATGACTAAAATCAAAGTTTGAGGAAGTCTACATTTTGGGGTGGAAGACCCCTTTAGCTGATATAAGAAACACCCATTTTCATGTTGGTGTCACCTTGAAATGACGACTCCGGTGCTTAGTTTCTTGAGTAGTTATTTGATATTTGGTCTCCCAAAGAGTTTCTGCTCTTATTTTAAATCCAAATTTCCCCGAAAGGTATTGCCCTGCAGAAAACAGCACACCAGAGACATGCCCTGTAGGCTCCTGTGCTGGAGGATGAATGGATGGCGTTAATGGTTAATATGGACTCAGGGTTACTGTGTTTTCTCGCTGTGCCCACATTAAACTGTTTATTTGTTGTTGTATTTTTAAATTATAGGGTGCAGACGCCGCTTATGGTGGAGTCTGCTGTTTATTTTAAACCTAATAATTAATACGCCAGCTTGCAGTGACGACTAGCGTTTCAACCGCAGTCGGTGCAGCTTGCAGCAGCAGCAGCAGAGCGTACCATAATTCATGGACGGGGCAAAAAAACTCAAATAGCATGTTGTACTAATAAATGCATTATGTGACGTACAATCAATTTGAAATTCACTTTCAATTGCCTTGAATTTACAAACGACATTTTATTATGTAATATGTTTCAATGTGTGTGTATTAATCAGCAGTTGTATTATTGGTTATATTATATTAGTGTCTGTTTGTGTCGAGCACCCCACTCCCTTACCCCCCGGGAAAATCCCTAAATGGAACCTTCCTGGATGGTTGGCCACGTGACTTTTTCCGTTTCGCCATTTTCCCCTCTTCTACACCGGTCCTCTTGCTGCCCGCTACGTTGTCGCCCCCCTCCTAGTGTTTTAAGTTGCCCGAAAGCCCAAGGTGGGATAGGGGAAACCCTGACGAGAAGTCCGTCTGCTCCGTAGCCGTATCGCCCTGAGGAAAAAGTGCGAGAATGTCTTCTGAGGAGAGCCCCGAGTACTCGCCTTTCTTCGCCGTGATGGGTGCCTCTGCGGCCATGGTCTTCAGCGGTAACTACACCAGCTTCTTCATCTTGGCATCCTCGTTTTCGCTGTCATAACGCTAACTGCTGGTTAGCTCGGCCAGGTGTTGAGTTCGTGGGTGATGTTAGAGATCAACCAGCGGTAGGGTTTGAGCGTAGAGAAGCCCCGGCGCTTTCTCGACTCGCACACCTGCCAGGGGATGCGTTGCGAAGGAGAGGCGAGGGCAAGGGGGAGGGATTCCATCGACATCAAGCTGCTGTCCTCACCTTGCTCTTGCAGGCTGCCTCCCTCTGCGTGAGCCAGGCTGTAACTATGTGTCCCGGTTGCTGCTGGTTGGTGACGCACACCCATCAACGGAGGTGGCAGCTGACCTGGTCAGGCCATCTGTAATCTGCCATAATGGGGTTATTTCACGGAAACGGGAAGGCCAGAGATCTTGATGGAGGAAACATGGCATCCTCGCTAAAGGTTGCCGAGGTTTTATTGGTTTAAATGAGTTCCTGTGTTACAGGAGAGGAGGCAGCATCGAAGGCCTAAAGATCAGCGGGAGAAATTAAAAGGGGGAAACCCACCCATTCATTTGCACCGCCTGTCGTGCAGTGTGGAGCACACCCACTGAAAGGTTCACAGTGTGCTCTTGGTGGGAGACATTTTTTGGCCAAGTTAAGCCAATCAAGTGATGGTAATTCTTGCTGATGCAAGCAACTGTGTTCGTGACAGACTGGTTTTTGCACTGATGAAACAGCAACATATATTTAACATTAGGCCAGAAATAGCTGTAGCATTCAAACTGTGCTGTTTGGCCCTGGATATGTGGACGTATTTAAAAAAATAAAATAAAATAGGGTTTTCCAGGACTCTGATTTTTAAAGAGGGGGGGGGTTGTTATATCCAAAAATAGCAGGAGAGAGGATACACCCCTGTTATGTATAGTGACACTCTCTTTATCTTAACTGTATGCAAACAAATCCTGCTTATGTTCATAATCACCCCACCAAAAGGATCATTTTGAGCATGATCAGCCTTTTTTAATAATTGATGTAAGCATTGAATTTTACATTGACATTTAGAAGGCAACAACATGAATGTGGACTGGTGAAGTCGTGGCCAACACCCAGTTGGATCACTGTATCCAAATAAGATCTCAATCACACATTGAGGTGTGCCTGCTGCTTAAGTTGTGCATACCTGTGTGACCTTTGCTCTCTTTTAGGCTTTCACGTTTTCTGCAGGCTGCGTAAAAACAACTTGGAGCAGTATGGGGAAAATTATTAATTAAATAATATTTCTTATAAATATTAGCTCTTCAACCTTTGATGCTTTTTGGCCTGCTTTTAATCACAACTCGGTTTAATGAGCCTGACATCAAGTTTAATATTAGCTCTTTCTCAGTGACCCTTAAAGTATTTTAAAAGCGTTTTGGGAGGAAAAAATAACCTTGGGTGTCCTCTAACTTCAGCACAAACTGTGCATTGGTTGCACTTCAGTAACCCATCATTTTATACACCACAGGCATTTAGGAGCCCCTTCATACAGCTTCATTATTTGAGTTTGATTACTGTCACACTCAGTAAAATGCCAACTTGAGATGTATGATTGTTCTTTGTTAATCCAGTCCACGATTTATAGACGCAAAGCCCCGATGTTACTTTTAAGAAAATGGTTCACCTGTGTAGCTGAACACCCTCGTCATATCCAACACATCTCACTGCAAAAGGCGTGTGGATATTACAGAGAAGTCCATTGCCTGTAAATGTGACTGCACAGCCAAGCAAGTGGGAAGTGAGGAAAGCTGTGTGTTATTGTACCATTATTATTTATTCATCCACCCCACTGAGCAAGTCTTCTTTGCAAACATGCCGTGTTCACAGCTGCTCACTGCTCGCAGCCAGCAAAGTCACATGTAATGATGAGGAATTGCCCGGCACCGATCTGCGCTCTCCAGGTGTTGAAGAATAGCGCCTGAATGCACTGGATTAAAGACATTTGAAATGTGAACGCCACCGCTCTGTGGCAGAACCTTTGCCTTCTTCTGATCAGAGGGGCTGACCTGCAAGTCATCCACTCTGTATTTAATAATATGGTTTATTACTGTAATATATAATATAGTTCATGCAGCTGTTTAAGTGCATGTGATGGGATTGTAAAAATCATACTGAGCACAGAATAAATATACGCATAAATCCCCTTTAGTTTAAAGATACAACCTATTAAAATACAGAACAGCTCTGTCAATAGTTACAGCCCATTCATCACCTCTCAATCATCACAAGTAAGCATCATTTTTAGATGATGCTGCTCACTTTTCTGGTCTTCATTTGCACAGTACACGTTTGCTGTGAACACAGAGGGTTTTCTAATGCAAAACAAATGAAATTGCATGCAAATTGGAGACAGTGATAAAGAAGCAGAGGCAGTTTGTGATCAACAGCAGCAGGAAATGCAGATAAAATAACAGGTTGAGATTCCTGCAAATGCCTGGGTGTATTGCAGAGTTGTTGTGGACGTATAAACTGTAATATTTTGGTGTGTGCAGCATTCATGGCAGTGTGACGAGCCGAGCAGGCATCAGTGAAATGCGAGGTGACAGCAGAGCGGAGAGCAAAATTGCTGGACGAGCGCCCATCGGTGGCATTATTAGTCATGAAAAGAGTCATAAAGTAGTGAAGTGGGCGGTGTTGTGTTGCGTAGCGAGACTTCAGTCTAACAACTTATAACATTTTTCATGCAGTTTTTCTGAGATGGTTTGTGAGGAAAGCTAAAAAGTAGGTGAAATGCAAGAAAGAACTGTCAGTCGAATTTCTCATCCTTTCTGCAACGTGCCTCAGAAGATAAAACTCAGAGCTTTGCTTCATTAACGCAGATTTATCATCTCTCTTTCTCAGCGTTAGGAGCAGCGTATGGGACGGCAAAGAGCGGCACAGGCATCGCTGCCATGTCTGTGATGCGGCCAGAGCTCATCATGAAGTCTATCATTCCTGTGGTCATGGCAGGTATCATTGCCATCTACGGGCTGGTGGTGGCTGTGCTGATAGCGAACAACATATCTGAGAGAGTCTCTCTTTACAAGTAAGATAAACTTCTCATACATAAGGATCTTTGTTTGTTTGTCATATAGTGATGCTACAGTAAAATAACAATCTGAATTTCATTGTTTGTGTCTAACGTGTTATTCAAGATCATGTTGAGTCGGGTTTCTCTAGTTATTGTTTAGATACACAACTAAACCAGATAATCAGATAATAACAACATTTTAAAAAGAGTATCTCTGGCCTTTGAGCTCTATTATAATCTCTGCCAACTCCTTAAAGAAGTGAACCTGTGGGACCTGAGCTTACTGTTTAACCACCTTCATGGTCCACTTGTTTCATCCGGCTCTTCATTGTTTTGCTGGGCAGGTCTCAGTCAGCTTATCATGACTTGTTTCCTGGTGGCAGTTTTGTGCTATTGCTGAGACTCAACAGCACAGTGTTTGTGGGCAGGCAAACCAAACTAGTATTGTGCAGTCAAGGTGTAGTATTTTCACTGTAAACACAGCGCCATGCTCGTAAACAGGTGTTCACTTTTGTGTAGGAAAGCACTTCAAATGGTCTTCTGACATTATTTATGTAGCAGCCCTGATGAGGACATTTCTCTTGGGAGACCAGCCAGGGTTGGATTTTATTTGTTCCTGTTGTTTTTAAAACCTAAGTGGGCATGCATATTAACCACTAGGCAAGTCCTTAACATGCCACTTTCTGTGAAGACTTGTTGAGCAATTTGATGTAGTCCAGTTATTAATAATGCATAGAAAGATTGCAGATTTGAAACTGGGCTTGTTCTTTTCAGAATTCAGCGCTTTTATTCAGACCTTTGGTTAGAATTGCTAAAAAGCAGCAAATACAAGAACAAAAACATGTAGAGTGAAACTGCTCATCTCTGCACCCTCTCTCATATTTTTTCATGCAAGTTTAAAAGGAGGAACAAGAGAGAGGAGTGAACATAGTTTCAGTGCACAACTTGATGCTACATATAAAACTCACTGAGTATTTCTAACCTATGGACAAAAAAGATGTTTCAGTTCAATTCTGTAGCACCAAATCACAAAACAGTCACCTCAAGGCCCTTTATATTCTAAGGTGAAGACCCTACAATAATACAGAGAAAACCTCAACAATCAAACATCTGTCATGAGCAAGCACTTGGCAACAGAGGGAAGGGGAAAAACTCCCTCTTAACAGGAAGAAACCTGTGGCAGAACCAGGCTGTGAATGCTCCTAACGTCACAAAACAAGTATTTTCTACTGCTTCTCTTCAACAGGAGTTTCCTGCATCTCGGTGCCGGTCTGAGTGTGGGCCTGAGCGGCCTGGCGGCCGGGTTCGCCATCGGCATCGTGGGTGACGCCGGCGTGAGAGGGACCGCTCAGCAGCCTCGGCTGTTCGTGGGCATGATCCTGATCCTGATCTTCGCCGAGGTGCTGGGTCTTTACGGGCTCATCGTGGCCCTCATCCTATCTACAAAATAAGTGTCTCCATCATGCCACCATCTCATTCATTCCACATCAGAGCAGCAAGAACAAATAGGAGATTTCCACCTACTTCCATTACAGCCGGTGGGTCTGACAGGACGGGATGGCGACAGAAACACATTGGCGTTCGACTTTGATAGCTCTGTCCTCAGATAGGTTTCTATCCATATTGTTTAAAGCCATCCAGTTGTGTCAGGTCTTGTGCGTACAGAACGGGCATGAACATGTACTGTGTGTTGTGGGATGATGTGTGGACAGTCTGCCTGATTTATTGTCTGATCTTAAACTGTACAGTGATCCAGAGCCCCCCTGCCCCCCAGTAAATGTAGTAACCAGTCCGTGCTGTGAGTGTGAGTATCAACATTTACCCCCCTCTGCCCATTCCCCTCCTTTTGTTTATTTATGTATTTATTTATTTATTTGTTTCTTTGTTTTTTGTTGGTGGTTTATATTGTCAACCTCTGTTTAAGACTGCTGAAGATATCGTGAACACCAGTATTTTATTTTTTCATGTTCTTTTCTGGGACCATTTTTGAAACTTTTTTTTTCACTATTTATGGACAGCTATGAAGATTTTGAAGCTATCTAAATGGAGTACTGTTTATTGAATACCCTATATACATAAAAAAATATATAAATGATCTGTGTATAGTTAGATTAATTGCACTGTGGGTAATTGTTATAAGTGCTTGGAATTCCTCTGGATGTAGTGTGAATATTAATGGAGGATGTCCACATGTTCATATGGAGTTGACAGTGTGCGTGCGTGTGCGTGAATGATCTGAGTAAATAATGTATGCAAGTGGATTTATGTTTAATATGACGTCCTCAGACACTTGTATCGTTTACCTGTAGTGCTGCTGTCTTGATTTGTTTGTTTTATTTTGTTGAAGGTGAGAGCTCACTGTTCAGCCATGCCTGTCAGATTTCCAAATAAAACTCAACCTCCTCCAGAATCTCACTGTCCAGTATTTATTTTTAAAGTATATATGTTAATGAAATGTCCAAACACTGCAAAAGGAAAGCAGACTGCGGATACCTAAACATTTAAATGCAATCTAAAACTGCCCAATATGTTGGGTATTTTTACCCCAAAAGAGTTTCAGCTACACGTTCTTATATTGATAAAAGTAGTTATTTACTTTTGGTCTTTAGAAAGAATGTCTGTCTGGTCCATAACATTACCTGGTCTCATGAGGTTTGACATTCAGATAGTAATATCAGAATTTGGCATAAATAACATGAAAGCATGGATCCATCCTGCATTGTATCAACAATTCAGGCTGCTGCTAATGGTGTAATGGTGTGGGCGATATTTTATTGGCACACTTCAGGCCTTTGGTAACAACTGAGCATCATGTAAAACACCTACCTGAGCACTGTTGCTGGCCATGTTCATCCCTGCATGACCACAGTGTGCCCATCTTCTGACTCTCAAACTGTTTTTTTTGTTGTGTGTTTGGGTTTTTTTTTTTTACGCGATACTGAAATAATTATATTCAAATGAACTCCACAGTCACCTCAATCATATAGAGCACTTTTGGGATGTGGTGGAATAGAAGATTCACATCATGGATGTGCAGCCAACAAATCTGCAAACAACTCTGTGATATTGCCAAGTCAATATGGGATATATGGAGGACTGTTGACAAAATCTATGCCATGAAGAATTAAGTCTGTTCTGCAGGTGACAGGGGGTTTCTAATAAAGTGTCCAGTGAGTCAGCTGGACACTTTATTAGTCCAGTGGATTTGCTAAGCAGCTGAGATGAGGCCCAACATTAAAAAAATAAGAATTATGTTCAACTTCTATCACGTAAAGCTAATTTAGTGAAGTCCGAGAATATATAGTGATCCTATTGACTGTATCAATACCAGCACTGATATTGGTATTGATCAATACTAGCGGATTCGATCAATAGTTTGTTTCTATCCTCTAAGTTCAGTATGTAGCACATGCCTCAAACATGCACCATGAAAAATGTCAGAACCTTTTTGTATTGACTGTCACATCTATTTAATTTATAACCTATAAAGTCCATTAACAGAGGCTGACCCAGAGTCCTTTAAGCGGGCACATTTACACTCAGGGTCTCCAAAAAACCCAGTTTTTGAAAATATGTGAAAACCTGAAATGTGTGTTTTGTTGTGTCAAATAAGTAAATAAGTTGTAGAAAGTTAAAAAAAACAACAACAGTGATTTATTGTTCAAAATGTGCAAATCAATTATAATTCATCCAATAAATCATGACACAATGCATTCGCCTTCAGCTGGCTTTATGGGCGTTATTGGTATCGGCAATAAGGGCCTTCTATTTACTTGGTATCGGATCGATACCAAAATTTGCAGTATTTTACCATGTTAATGCCCTAAATGTTCTCCACTGCGGTGGATAGCTGTTTTTACGGCTGAGTACAATGACTCCAGTCACTCCTGGCTGCTGAGATGATGACAGGAGTCTGTCATGTGTGCAGAAAACTTCCTGCGCCGCAGCTCCTCCTCAGCCTGCCTGTTATTGTTTACTGTCGCACTCATGAAAAGTAGGTCATGGAAAACAGAAGCCCGGCGCGCTGTCTTGTCTGAACTAGCTTGTAATACGAGACACTCAAGGGACGACGTCTTTGCGGGTTTAGCGGTTTTTATGTAGAAACTGAATGTGACCAACAATCAGGTAATAAGAACGACTCGCTTTTATTTTTCAGCAATGGTAGCAGCGGGCAGCTAACGAAAGCTAACTAGCTAGCCTAAACAGGTTTGACCGATTTCTTCATGCATGTCATCAGATAAATTGCGACCTTATGTGCCTTAGATGTATTCCCCGTGTTGTAATGTAAATACGTATCAATAATAACCAGTAAAGTGCTTCTGACCTTGTTATTACCAGCTAACATGTTCATACATGCGCGGCTCTGCTGGCTAGCCAGGTAGCTAGCTTTAGCTGTTTGTGTTAGTTAGTTAAAAAAAATGCTATTTGTGAAAAATAGTCTCCTACATAAACAAGGGGGTAATAATTTTTACTTGTGATATAATTGATTTGTGGACAAAGTTAGCCTATGCTATGCTGATATGGTGATGTGTGTAAGCGTTAGCCGATACAGAGGGGATGTTTCAGTGGGATACGGCTAATGCTGCTCTGAAAATGCTTTCTGAAATGTCTTAAATAACATAGATTAAACATGAGATTCGAGGTCGGGTTGCAGGATTAATTTAAAATACAGCACTCAAACGCGTGGTGTAGGAAATGTTGCCATACAGACAAGCCAGGATATATGAATAATACATATTATACGTCACACGGGGTCTGCAGACAGATGCACGCCTCTGTCGTTCAGTACTAAAAGCAGCTCAGTTAATGTGAGTTCTTGTTTTTTTGTTTGTTTTTGTCAAGATAATCATATTGCATTGTTGTCTTTCAGCAGCTGGACTGATGCCGTTCTTCCAACATCTGGACTAAACCTCAGCAGACTGGCAGGTTCTTCCTACAGTGAGACTTTGCTGCCATGTCCAGGAGAAGCAGGAACAGTCGTGCATGGAGATATGTGTGGGGAGGCATACGGAGGGATGCTGATGCCCGGGCCCTTGTGTTGGCTTCTGAGAGTGAAGAATGGAACTATGATCGCCTTGAGGTTAGGGCTGGGCGATATGGCCTAAAATCCATATTATGGTATAATTTGAAACATGTGCAGTAACGATATATATCGCGATATATTCTTTTCTTCTGTATAATGTATTTTACACACTATGAGGCACACTTAAAATCCTTTAATTTTCTCAAAAATCGACAGTGCACCTTATGTATGAATTCTGGTTGCACTTACTGACCTCGAACCAATTTTATGTGGTACACGGTGCACAGAAATCTGTCAAAAATGTTTTAGTATGACTTTGGTAAGCTATGAAGCCGCACGGCTTGATGGATTGCCGGAGCATTACGGCTACCTTGCGGAGTAATCTTGGTCCAAAGCTCCGTTCCCTTCAGGTCCCAAAGTCAAACAAACACTGCGACATCACTTAAAGTTAAAGTTAAAAACTGTCTAAATTCTTTAATAATCTTTAATAAATCTTTAATAAAATGATCAGTGTTGCTGCTTTACCAGGTGTAACAATTAAGTTTAACATCCAAGCATCCATGAAAACTTAAAATTTATTAAATTCCACTGAGCTAGAAGTTAGCAGGAAGTTAGCTCGCTAGTTTCCACCTAAACATAATATGCCATGTTCTGACTGAGAGATTTCTGAAAAAATTAAAATGTACAGCTCTGCTATCACTTCCAACATAAATGAAGACCGAAAACTAAACAGCAGTGACGTTTATAGGGTTACTGAAGTTGAGCTAGCTGGTATACAATGATATGCTACGTGATTGCTAGTGACACCGCTACGTTAGCATAACATTAGCACAGTGAAGCTGAAGGACAAACTTTTTTCCACTCGATAAAAGTTAACATGAGGGTTTCTGCTGGTTAGGGACAAATGCAATTGCATAGCAGGATGCTATAAACGGACCAAACTTCAGTCAGGAGAACAACTGAGATAATCCATCCGAGGTTAGTCATTAATATACTGCAACAACATGGGAATAGAGCAGCTGCGAGAGAATTCAGCATTAATGAATCAATGTTACAGAAGTGGAGGAAGTGCAGTTTTTGGCTTTCCCCATATTCCAAAAGTGCTTTGTCTCTTTGCTATTACTGTCGCCCGGCATAATTTGCAGATGACGTTGTTTGCAGCCGCTGCTATGCTTTTGACCAAAACAGGCGCAGCTTGATGACACCATCAACATGCGCTATCGCGGTAGAGCGGTATAGTCAAAATCTCTACCGTTGGCCAAATTTATATCATTTCTACCGTATACCGTTTATACCGCCCACCCCTACTTGAGATGTTTCTATGCTGAAAGGATATTGATGGAAAGCATTGTTTGCCTCCTCCAATGCAGCATCCCCATTTAGCATTTTTTCGTAGGCTGACAGTGAAGTCTGTGCATAAATAACACTGCAGACAGTTCATTTTGCTCTTTTTATTTCTTCATTGTTGCTCCAAAGTACGCAAGTGATTCAGACTCTGAGGGAGACTTTTCAGCAGTGATGGTCCCACCGGTCCCCAGCGCAGTACCCGTCACCGGAGAGTCCTACTGTGGTTGTGATTCCCAGGCAGAGACCAGCTACAACCCTCGTCTGCGAGGCTTTCTCCAGGTTAAAGACTGCCACTGTGGAGAGGACGACCAAGGTACACGACAGCTGGGGCAGGACACAGTACATCGTCTTTTGTTATGCTCATTAATATTTAATAAATGACTCGTTATGTTTCAGATTTTGATTGGGTTTGGGATGCCAACAGCCGATCAACGGCAACTTTACTGAGCTGCGAAAATCGCAAAGTGAACTTCCACTCTGAATACAGCTGTGGTACAGCTGCAATCCGCGGCTCCAAGGAGCTTGCAGATGGGCAGCACTTCTGGGAAATTAAGATGACGTCCCCAGTGTATGGAACAGACATGGTAAAGCTCGACTTCTTATTTTCCTTACAGTCACCAAAAATTGTCCTAGAAGCAGAAGAAATGTTTATTTGTGCCTAAATGTTTATTTATTTCTGCGCAGATGGTTGGTATCGGTACATCTGATGTCAATCTGGACAAATACAGACATACCTTCTGCAGCCTGTTGGGGAAAGATGCAGACAGCTGGGGGCTTTCTTACACTGGTAACTTAAACACAAGTGCCCCTGATGTAACGGTAGTTGCTCAAAAGGGTTTTTATATTTTAGACATCATTGGTTTTGTTCATTTTCCAGGCTTGTTGCATCATAAAGGAGACAAAATGAACTTCTCCTCACGTTTTGGTCAAGGTTCCATCATTGGAGTTCATCTGGACACGTGGCACGGCACACTTACATTCTTCAAAAATCGAAAGTGCATAGGTTTGTGGAAAATCTTCTACTGATTAGATTACATAAATACTAATTTATTTCTGATTTGTCCCTGGTCACACAGGTCTACAAAATGAGCAGCAACCAGCTTGGAACCACAAACATCCTTGCAATTGCTTTATTTGATAGCAGATTGCTTCCTTTGCCTGTAGTTTGCACAGACGATGCAGATTTATCTGCAAACACTCACCAACTACTTTCCAAGAGGTAGTGAAAGTGTGAAAAGTTGAAAATGCTAGAAACCAAAGCAATTATAAGGAGGTTTTTGGTGACCAATCTTTGCAGCCAGTTTCACCTAGCAACTGGTGGCAACCTCCAGCAACCACTATAAGTTCATAAGCCTTTTTCCATTTTAACTGCAGGTTCCCAGTGTGTTGTGGACCAGCTTGTAAGCCTGTGTGACTCAGCCCTAATAGGTCAACTATATGCAAAGGCGATGCTGTTTAGTGTTTAGTTTAGCTGTTTGTAATATCTTACAAGAATGTGAACTGCAGTGTGCTCCTGAAACTCAATAATACAGGTTTCTCGCCTGTCTTGATCCAGGAGTTGCTGCTACAGAGCTGCAGAATAAGAGGCTTTATCCAATGGCGTGCTCCACAGCAGCGAAGAGCAGCATGAAGGTCATCAGATCCTGCTCTGCACCCACCTCCCTGCTGTACCTGTGCTGTGCTCGTCTTCGCCAGCTGGTGCCAGACTGTATAGACATCCTAGATGTGTTGCCCCTACCACCTGGCCTGCGTCATTTGCTCCACAACAAACTGGGTTGGGTGCTCAGTCTTAACTGCGGCACAATGGAAGAAACCCCAGATGGGGCTGAGCAGTCCTCACGTTTGCCTGTCCCCGCCTTGGCAGGACCGTCCTCCTCTGAGAGCGACTCAGAGGGTTGTTCGTCCGATCCGGAGGCCTGTCAGAGGAAGAGATGCCGCTGGACATGACTGGGCGACTCGCATCCTACCTCCCCTTAAACACTGGCAGACATTAGTCTCCTTTGGCATCTGATGTAGTGTTACTGAACTGCCTCAAGCTTTCTTTATTAGTGTCGTCTGGAGAAAGTAACGAGGGCGGTCGAGCGGAGGGAACTAAACGTCGGTGGAAAACTGTGATCTTCTCTTATGCCATTCTTCATGCTCATCACATGTCGAGTATCAAAGCCAGCTTCAGTAAAAGGTGAAAATATACCATGTTATTTTGTTATGGGTGGACGTGGTGGTCATCAAAATGGGGAGGGTTAAAAAAACAGATACTGTATAGAAATTTTCTGTATTTTCATCCCGTATCCTGCATTTAATGTCTGTTTTTCTCACTTTAAATGTTGTCAGTGAGTTATCAGAGGACTTTGTTACTTGTTTCAATGGCATCTGCAAGTTTCTCCTATGTTGCTCAGAATCAGCTGATATTCTATATTTTGTAACTACTGTTCGCTCCTTAAATGCTAAAAGTTAACAGTAAATGAACCTGAGTGCACTTTGCAGCTTTTAGCCTTAAAAAAAAAAGCGATAACGTTTGAGCAAGGCATGCACCTCTCACGACACATCAGATAATCGTCATTTCTTGAAAAATATATGTTATATGTTACATTCACGGAGACATCATCCATCTAGCTTCCAGCTTTTTTTTCCTTCTAAAAAGCTGTGTGCATTATTTAGTGTAGCCTTTTAATGCTGATATTTTAACATTTTCATTGCTGTTACTTTTTATGTTTTAAAAGTCAAAGTTTCTTTCTTTCTAGATCTATCATCAAGCTATTATTTTGGTATGTCTGTTTATTCAGCTCTATTTTTTAAAAAAAAAGTCTTTGTCAAAGCAGCTTTTCTGGCCCTGAATTAAGTTTAAGCTCTGTGTTGTAAATCCACTCCAGTGCAGTGGATGAGCAGAAAATAGTAAATATGAAATTATGTACAGAAAGATATCCATCCTCCTGCTGTGTAATCCGCTCCCACACTATGTGTTTTATATGAATACGGTTCACTTTGTCCAAATATGGGTTTATATGGCTAAAGGTGTCATCATTGTGACAGACTCAGTGCTACTACTGCTACAATGACCATTGAGACTGAGACCATGCACAGTCAGGTCGAGGAGTCTGTGAAAAGGATTGTTTTGCCTCTGTTCACCACCACAGTCCATCTGAAGTGAAGCAGTCAAGCTGTGACTGAAGTGTAGACGTATCTAGAGACTTAATATCCTTTTTTTTCTCTCATTTTCAATGGCGATCGTGGCTCAAGAGTTGGCCATTTGTCTTGTAATCGGAAGGTTGCCGGTTCGAGGTCCAACAGTCTCGGTCGTTGTGTCCTTGGGCAAGACACTTCACCCGTTGCCTACTGGTGGTGGTCAGGGGGCCCGGTGGCGCCAGTGTCCGGCAGCCTCGCCTCTGTCAGTCTGCCCCAGGGCAGTTGTGGCTACAATGTAGCTTGCCATCACCAGTGTGTGAATGGGTGGGTGACTGAATGTGTAAAGCGCTTTGGGGTCCTTGGGGACTAGTAAAGCGCTATACAAATACAGGCCATTTACTATTTAAAAGTAACACGGATGGGCCTGAGATGTCCTCGCGTACATCTTATTTTCCACTCAGGCGGTGGACGGAGGCAACATCACCTAAACTGCATCACTGCCCAAAAACCTGACTGTAGCCATGTTTTGATTGATTCATCGATTATTGGGACATTATACCTTTTAGAAAATGTTATGTTTCAATAATCTCCTGGGACCATAAATGGTAAAAAAAAAGATGGACATAGCGTCACCAAGAATTTCTGCTGTTGCCGTCTTGGCATTTTGGTATCCAGTGCAATGAGAAGGAGGCGGAGTTGACTATAAAACCGCATGTGAGCATGTCCTGGATAATCCACCTTTCTTACACATGCAGTGCTTAACTAATTTACCAGTCAAGACAACCAGTCATAAAAAAGTCAACCATAATATTCAACCACTAAAGCTTAAATAACTGTAATTTGGCATATTGTTAAAAATTAATAATGTTTTTGCTATTTTTTTCTGATTTTTAAAAAATAAAACAGTAAATATTCTAAAAAAAAATCCAATCATTAGGATTTTGGTAATTCTGAGTACTGATAATTTAGGGCAGCTGGCGTAAACCTTTCACTGGGAGGTGATCTGAGAAATTTGCTAAGCACTGTGGAAGGAGTCAAATTTACAAAATAGATTTAATGCTCTTTAGAACATTAAATCTATTGCAGCAAAGTGTTTACAGATCTCCCAGCAGGGGGGGCATTTCCCCAGAGATTACTATGGGACCAGAAGTCTTTTAGGAACCACAGGTATCGCCCCCTGGTGGCTTCTGTTTTCAGACCTGAGACACTCAGTCCATCTTTTATACTGTTGATGGCTGGGACTACCATAAAAGTGTAAACATGCATGCTGCAGCCATGTTTTGCAGCTTGCCCTAATATATACAAACACTTTTTGTATATAAATGTTTTTCAGTACAGAAAAGCTGAGAGTACTTGATAGGTATTTGAGTATTTGAGTTCATGAATGACAGCCTGGGGTACGGTGAGACATGTGGGTCAGATATGTAAATAGATTCTCTGTAGTCGCAAACCATAATAATGAAACATTAGTGTTTTGCCCAGAGGTCAGACACCCGTTTCTGATGTCCTCAAAGTTCTTGGTTTCAGTACAGTGATACAAATACCTAAGGTACTATGCAACACAAGCATTCTCTGAGGCAGTGGGTGAGGTTAGGGAGTCATTATGGAGCAACAGGGATAGTACCAGAGGACCATGCTCATCACTCACAAGCCACAGATCATCTAGTTGAGTAAAATCTTTCAGCCGCCTCGTCCTCCATATAGAGTAATGTAACCACCAGGAAGTTAATTGTGGTCCAGCAGATAAATTTGTCTTCACATCAATGCATCAAAGCACTTTTTTCTTACTGTTTTACTGTAAATTCTAAGTGTTTCTTCTATACTGTGTCATATTATTAATACTGTATGTGAGGGCCTTCACTTGCCTTTCTCTGTATCAGCATGATTTTCAGCTGAAAATAAAATGAATGCTAAATAGGCAGCATGGGCTCCATTTGTTCATTTAGTAGCAGCAAATTCGTTTTTTGCTGGTCAATTGGGCGCTTGTTAAAGAGGTTGGGTTTTTGTTGTGAATGTTTCTGCAGCTGACAGTGACTCATTGCTGTTTGTGTCTCATTTCTCACAGCACACTCATCTTCCCCATCCTCCTGTGTTCTTTAGTAATGACGATAAGTCCTTTGTTTACTGTCTGGTGTTAATCTGCACTCACAGACACTTTGTTAGGTACACCTTAGTGGTCCCGAGTTTGGCCCTCTGTTGCCAGTAGAACTACATTGTGGCGTAGATTCAACATTTAACATCCTAAAGGTGCTCTGTGGTGACTGGAGAAATCTCAGCAGATGAACATTTTCTGAAATGCTCAAAGCTCCCCCCTCTGACACTAAGAACCAAAGTTCAGAGTCACTTAAATTACCTTTGTTGATGCTCACTTTAAACTTGAGCAGGTCTCTGTCTACATGCCTAAATGCATTTGCATTTTAGAATATTGATTATTGATTATTATAAATGCACATTAAAGAAAGCTTAACAATTAATATTACATATAGTTGAAAAGAAGTTTATTTTCTTTTGGGGGATTTAATTTTGAAAATGACTCACAAAAAATGTTTTCACCTGTCATTCATTTCAACTGCTTGTAAGTTTTCTTTGTGTTTGGTTTAAGGAAAAGGACATACAACAAGCAAAATAGGACTAAGACAGACGGGCTAGTGGCTCTTGTGGTCCTCCATAGAAGGGGACTAAACGGTGAATTATTGAGATAAGAAGGAAGGAATATTGATATTTATAACAAATAAATTAATACATAAAGTTACTTAAATGAAACGGATTTGTTTGGAAACTCAGATGACGAGAGGACCCGTAAACCCACTGCATCTTAAAAACACAATAATTGGTGGTTTTGTATTTAAAATACTTTGTATTGACTGTGTTCGTGTGTGATTGCCTGGCATACGTTTTACTGGCTAATCTAAGCTCTCTTATGAAATGATAATTTTTCATTTCTTAATTTTTTTAAAATAATTTTTCATGAAAACGGAACTTCTCCTTACACGGAACAAAAGCACGCTGGCTGTTCCCACGGACCATTTTATGCCCGGACCAAGAGCGCGTCGGAAGCTCTGCACCTTGCTTGCGGAGGTCAAGTAGCGGCAGTTCTCTTCTGGGGAGTTTTCAGGTATTTAATGTAGATATTTAATGGTTTTAAACACTTTCGATAGTAGCTCACTACTATGGGTAACAAATGTTTGGAACGACTTATAACTGGTGTTATTTAGCACGGAGCCGGGAACACCGGCTAACAGGATGCTCTCCATTTGATTGCAGTTTTATTTAGTTTCTCTAACAGGTCAAAGACATAATTCAAGATCAGCTATGACATGATTTATTTTTATTTTTCAGGATAATCGCTGACCCGTGTCTATCGTAGCTGTGAGGAAGACACCACAGTTATGGTGAAGAAGAAGAGACTTCGCCTCATCGCGGAGATGGCTCGGAAGATCCGGGCGTACAGAGAGCTCAAGTCCCGGCCTCGGGAGTCCCAGAAGTACGCCTTGGACTACGAGACAATGAAGCGGCCCTTCACGGGGAAGATGCTGCCGGTGTTAGCATGGCAGGATGTCCGCAGGGAGAGCCGCCTCTTCTCCCTGCTGGCCGGGATGAGGCTGTTCGGAGTGGGCCGACTCTTCACCCGCAAATCCTGGCTGGAGGACCACTCCGAGCCCAGCTACTGGCAGATCACCAAGGTCAAGGTGGACTACACATCGGAGGTGAGAGCATGGAGCCTGCACACTGTTATGCTAGATAAAAGTGAGATTCCTGTTACTAAAGGAATGGAAACTATTCCTTGTGTTTTGTAGAACATGGATCACGGCAAAGCGTGGGGCATCCTCACTTATAAAGGTAAGATTAGTTTTATGTATTAATAATAATAATAATAGCACTGTTTATGGTCATTGTAGCCTGTGTTGTCTTATTTGTTTTTACTGTAACAGCCATTTTTAATCAGTATTTTATGAATATCTGTGTTGCCTGAAGTGTGTGATTTGGTAAATATTCTCCAAACAAACTATTGTTTTCAGGGAAAAAGGAGAGCGAGGTCAAAGAGATGGACAAGGTGATGTACCATGACTGGCGCGTGATTCCCAAACACATGGAGCAGCAGTTTAAGGACTTTGAGCCTCTGCCCGAGCCGCCCGTCCGATACGTCACCTACCCTCCCCTGCTCCGCGCAATGCTGCTGGCGCAACAGAAGAAAGCAGGAGGCAGCAGAGAGGCAGAGGACCCCATCCTGCCTTTAAAGAGGGATGTTCTACTTAACAAAGACTATTTCCACACGCAGGAACAAGAGCGACAGAGGAAAGAGGGGACTGCGGTGTAATGGCTTCACTTGAATGTTTACCAATCCTGGATATTTTTGGACTAGATCATTGTTGACAAATGCTTCTCAATATCTGGCTGAATCTTCCACTCAGAATACTTCTCTGTGGGTCTGATGCAGGCCCTTGTGCGTGTGTGTTATTGTTGTATGCTGAATATTAAATTTGAGATGAATTGTAGCCCCTTTTAAGTTATTTCTGTTGTTTTTATGTGCAGGTAATTACAGCTGCATCACATCACAGTCCACAGCAAACTTGTAACTTTGACTTGGATATATTCTGGTTAAGATCTGAGAAAAAGCCCAGCAGCCTTATCAGAGTATAAAAGTAAACAGTAGACTTTAGTCGTTTTCTTGTATAATAA